CAGTGGCCATTCTTATCCTTGGCCAAATGTACATATTAAAAACAAGTAGGGCCGGCCCGGTGGCGCACTGCTACAGTGCGCTGCTCGGGAGCGCGGCGGCGCTCCCGCCGAGGGTTTGGATCCCATGTGGAGACCGGTTCCCGCTCACTGGCTGAGCGCGGTGCAGGCGCAACACCGAGGGTTGCGATGCCGTTGCCGGTCCCTGGTACAGGTGTGACACCGAGGGTTGCGATCCCATTACCGGTTAGTAAAAAAGACAAAAAGGAAAAAAAAAAAAAAAAAACAAGTACAGAACCTTGGATCTCTAAGCACCTTTCATAGGCATTCACAGATCACCTACAGGGTGCTGGGCACCACGGGTACGAGATGCACCAGACACGGCCCCTCCCCTTTGGGAACTTTTACAAGAGCAGGGAAAGACTGGTGCCCACGTTCCACGCTTTCTTCTCTTCTCCTTCAGATAAATGACCCCGATCTGGACATCGATTTCTAACCTACTTCCTCCAAAAAAATAACAGAGTTAAGTGATTTATGTAGATTATCTTGTTTTTTTTTTTCCTTTTTGTCTTTTTTTTCATGACCGGTAACGGGATCGCAACCCTCAGTGTCGCGTCCACACTGCACTCAGCCAGTGAGCGGACCGGTCTCTATATGGGATCCGAACCCTCGGCGGGAACGCCACTACGCTCCCAAGCGCTGCACTCTACCGAGTGCGCCACCGGGCCGGCCCATAGATTATCTTGTTTAACTTTCACAGTAACCCTCAGAGGTAGGAACCATCATTATTCTCACTTTCCAGATGAAGAAACTTAGGCTTATATAAGTTAAGTAACTTGCACAAGGTCACAGAGCTAGTGTGGCAGCTGGGGATTCTTAACCAGGTTTGTCTGAATTCTAAATAACTACATCATACCATTGTATTCCCCACTCCTCCCAACAGACAAACTGATGGACTAGAGGGGCTTTTCAGAGGTATCAAAACGAATACTCAAAGCCACCATCATCCCACATTTGTATCTAAACCTTTACTTAGCAGACCCTCTTGATGACCACAGACCTAAGGTTCTCAATCTCACTGCCTCAATTCAGGCAGTGGAACGCTGTGAACAGCTGTGAGAAGCATTCCAAATAAGTTATTACAAGAAATAAAGTACTAACGTTTGCGAATAGTTTATTAAACACACACACACACACACAGAGAAGAACAATGCATATCCCTCACACATTTTCATTCTCTGAATGAGAGAAAAAGGGATAGAGATGTATCTAAAATGCTGCAAACCAAGGGTAACACCAGCCAGGTATACCCACGGCAGCGTCATTCCTGTATACATCCATCATGTGATTTCTGGCAGTAAAACACCTCAGCAACACCAGTTTAGACCACTAAGAAATAAGCAACCTGCCTATCCAACTGGCAAGTATTTAAAAAAAAAAAAACAAACCAACCTCCAGCTGTTCGCTCAGCACATATTCATCGAGCACCTGTGCTAAGTGCTAAGGCCACAACAGTAAACAAGTTAAAGTCTCAGCTGTCTCTATTGAGAGAGACAGACCTCAGACAAAATTTCAAGGGGGACAGGAGTTAGGAAAAGTTGAGTCCAGGCTGTATCCAGGTGGGCATGTATCTGGGTGAACTAACCATATCTGAGGATCAGAGAAGGCTCTCGGGGTGTGATGTGTAAGCTGAGAGCCAGAAGGAAGGGTACAAACAAGCCAGACGAACAGCGGGAGGGGAGAGGCCGCCAGATGGGGGAACAGCTTGTTACGTACGTATGGCCCTAGGGCCATGGAGTAGTAAAATGAGAATGAAAAAGGAAAGATCACACTAATACTACATGGTCAGGAAATTGAAAGAGATTAAGGGATAAGGGGACGAGAGCTCAGGATAAAACTGTAGCAGCAGGCAGGAGCTGACTCCAGAAGGCCTTGCAAAATGGCTTATGGACCTGGGCAAAGAAAGCCTCTGAAGGATTCCAAGTGAGGATATGGCACGATCAGAACTGCTTTTTAAAACCATCGTTCTGGAAGAAAGTCAAGGTGGAAGCAAAAGATGAATATATTTATACATATATGCCATAAATATGCATAAGCCACTTTTCAAAGATGCATAAGAAATTGGTGAAGTGGATGCCTTGAAGGAGGTGACCTAGGAAACTTATGGACGAGGGGTCAAGGTGAAAGGACACTCGTTTTCGTGGCATAGCCTTTTGTATTTCTCAGTTGTTTACCATGTGTATTTCTAGTCAGAGTTTAATGAAATGATCGCTCTGGCTATAATATAGAAAGTGGGTATATATGTGCATATATATCTATGTATCAAAACATCAGATTGTATCCCATAAATATGTAAATTACAATGTGTCAATTAAAATAAATTAAAAAAAAGAAAGTGTACTTAGGGACAGGCAAGGGTAGGTATAAGTTTCAGAAAACCGATTACATGGTAAAGCTTTCATGACCTATTACTAAGGGAAAGAAAACTAAAATGACTCTGCACATTTTAATTTACATGCACAGCACAAAGGAAAATTATACATTAATCCTAAAGTGATGATCGGTGAGCACCGAGATTACAAATGATTTTTATTTTCTTGTCTATGCTTTTCTGTTTTCCCCATGTTTTCTCTAGTGAACATGTTATAATTTTCAGAATTAAAAAAAAAAAAAGTTTGGAAGGAGGAAGAGGGGCCTACCTTATGTAGACTGGTCATGCCATCATCATCTACCAACCTGGGGTTGCACCCATGGGAAAGCAGAAGCCGTGCTATTTCAGTGTGCCCGCAGTAGCTGGCCCGGTGCAGAGCAGTGGCACCTCCGTGGGTCTGGGCATCACACTTGGCTCCATTTTCCAGCAGGAACTGGCATACATCATAGTGCCCGTTGCGGCTGGCGTAGTGCTGCAGGGAACAGGAATAGGTCAGACAGCAGAACCCAGGCAGGTGACAAGGGTGGTGGAGTGGTGAGGGCACAGGCTTTGCAAAGAGTGGCCTAGGATCACCTCGGGTACCACCCCCAGCAGCCGGGTGACCTGGGCAAGCTTATTCATTTCTAGCATCAGTTTCCTCAACTGGAAAATGGGCAGAGTATCATTCCTGCCTCATCGGATTGTTACGAAAATAAAATTAAATAATTGATGTAAAGCTCTTACTCTAATGATAAAAACCCAGGTTCACATGAGGCTTGAAACAGAAACTCTGCTGGGACAGAAGGAAGGGAGGGCTGATAAAAGATGAACATCAATCCCCCCTCCTCACAGATCAGGTATCCCCCAAGTTGAAGTTTCTCCCTCTTCTGACCCTGTGTTCCTCCAAGCTCACCAGCGCCGTGTAGCCAGCCGAGTCAGGCTGACTCGGGTCCATTGCCTTCTGGACTAAATATTTCACACGACCCAGGTCTCCATGCAGGGCTGCTGACCAGATTCCTGCAGAAGGACAACCAAAGTACTGAATCATGCTGAAAGGCTGGGGACAGCTAGTGCTTCTTTTACCCTTGACCTCAGTTTTCTCATCTATAAAATAGAAAATGTTTGTTCTTTTAACCAATATTAACAAAGCCCTTCCTCTGTGCCAAGAATTCTTTGAGCTGGTGACATATCTATTAACAAGAAGGCAAGGGGCCGACCCGTGGCTCACTCGGGAGAGTGTGGTGTTGATAACACCAAGGCTATGGGTTTGGATCCCATATAGGGATGGCCGGTTAGCTCACTGGGAAAGCGTGGTGCTGACAACACCAAGTCAAGGGTTAAGATCCCCTTACCGGTCATCTTTAAAAAAAAAACAAGGCAAGGAGCTTGTCTAATCAGGACAATAGGATTGGGCATACACAGAAATCCCTTGTTCTCCTTCAAACACATAAATGTTGGATAAAATAATGTTTTTAATGTTTGAATACAGAGTCAAATTCAAAAGCAAGAAAAAGAAATTGCCAGAAACAAAGTGAAACCATGGGCAAAGTGGTGAGCAGGCACTGAAGCTGTAGAATTTAAAGGACACTCAGGGCTGACCTGTGGCTCACTTGGGAGAGTGCGGTGCTGATAACACCAGGGCCATGGGTTCGGGTCCCTATGTAGGGATGGCCGGTTAGCTCACTGGCTGAGTGTGGTGCTGACAGCACCAAGTCAAGGGTTAAGATCCCCTTACTGGTCATCTTTTTAAAAAAAATAAAAAATAAAAAAATAAAGGGCACTCAGAACTGGACACATACCTCAGGGACTTTGGTGTGAACACCTGAGCAGGGTTCAGAGTGAAAGCTCCAGGCCACTTGTGAGCTCAAAGACTAAAAATTGCAAAAAAAAAAAAAAAAGCAATCCACTGCTATGAGAGGTGGTCAGCAAATACAAATGGGAAAATGCATGCCTCAAAAGTTAGCCATGATAGGGGTCGCCCAGTTAGCACAGTTGGTTACAGCACAGCCTTATGACACCAAGGTCACAGGTTCCAATCCCCATACCGGTCAGCCACCAAAAAAAAAAAAAAAAAAAAGGCTATTATAGCACAATCTAAAAGTGAATTTATTTTTTAAAAAATTTTTAATTAATTAATTATTATTATTTTTTTTTAAAGATGACCAGTAAGGGGATCTTAACCCTTGACTTGGTGTTGTCAGCACCACGCTCACCCAGTGAGCTAACCAGCCATCCCTATATGGGATCCGAACCTGTGGCCTTGGTGTTATCAGCACCACACTCTCCCGAGTGAGCCACGGGCCGGCCCCTAAAAGTGACTTTAACATACCAATGTTTAATGTGTTCACAGAGATGAAAAGATAGAATCCACAAATCAACAGAACAGGGGGGAAAAAAGCCAAACGACAATAGACAGGTTGAACAGTATAAGACCTAGTTGAAGAGAGAATTAGTGATGTGGAATTTACCAAGAATGCAGCAAAAAATGATAAGGAGAAAAATATTAAAGAGAGGTAAGGAAACACGGAAGATAGAATGTACCAACATATGTCTAATAGGAGTACCAGAGAGAGAGGCAATGTTTGAAGAGATAGCATCTAAGAATTATCCAGAATGACAGACAATTGTGAGTCCTCAGATGATCAACCACATTATATCCCAAAGATTAATAAAAGCAAATTTAGCATGGTGAAATGACTGAACATCAAGAACAAAGACAACATTTAAAAGTTACCAAAAAGAAAAGATCATTACCCGTCAAAGTCATCAGCAGATATAACAGTAGTAGCAGATACAAGAAGATGAAGGAACAATATTTCCAAAGGATTGTGGGGAAAAATATAATTGTCAACCTAGAATTTTATACTTGGCTAAGCTATCACAAGTGTTTGGGGGGGGGGGGGGGAGGCATCCTTGCTGAAAAAACTATTAAAGAATGTACTTCTAGAAGAAGGAAAATGAACCCAAAAAGAAGATACGATTTGAAGGAAAAAAAGGCACACAATAAGCTAGATAAGGATCCTTTTTAAATGTAGGAAATACATAACAAGTTTTGTTGACCTGGACTTGATGGACTTTGGATGGGGCAAGGCTTCTTTCTCAACAGCAGCACAGTTAACATTTTGGGCCAGATAATTCTTTGTTGCCGTATCGCACGCACACACACCACCCACACACCAGGCTCAGCAAGTGGTGGCTCCCTTCGCCGCGCCGCCCGCCGGAAGCCCCACGCCTCGGGTGGGTGCCATACCCACTTGGAGATTCCGCTCCCCGGCCAGTCTCTGACACCTGAGCCGGCTTGCGTCTCCCAGGTGAGGTCATCAGGTGGAGAGTCAGGCCCCGCCCCACCCCGGGAAAGAGCTACGGAAACCAATGCCTCAGTTTCCCCGCCTGCACGCCCGACGAGGTGTCTCATGGCCGAGCTGGTGCCGCGTCCCCGGCAGGCTCTCAGTACCGCGGGCGCTGTGTCCCCTCGCCCGCCCTCCCCGCGGCCAGGCCCAGAAGCCCTCGGGGATCCGTTCGGGGTCCCAAAGGCCGGGCCGCGCGGCCGCCTCACCCCTCTCGAAGTCCATCTCGTCCAGCGTCTGCTGCACGCCGGGCACCGCGCCGGGGCGGGAGCAGCAGGGCCCGTCGGCGCAGGGCCCCGGCGCCGCCATCCACGCCTCGGCGCCCGCCCCTCAGCTGTGGGTCACTCGCTGGGCCTCGGCGGGAGGGGCGGACGGAGGCGGTGCCCGCGCCGCAGTCCCGGATCCGACCACTCGGCGTCCGCGGTTGTCCTCCTGGTCCCGCCACTTGGCCTCAACCAGCCAACCAGGAGCCTAGGCCTTAGCGGGACGACCAATCGCGGCGGTGGGGCGGGGCTTGTTTGCGCCGCGCCGCGCCCGAGGCGGCCACGAGAGGGCGTCCGAGGCTAAGCAGAGGGCGGCGGGGCGGCTCAGGATCCCGGGAAACCGACCTCGCGGGGAAAGGGCGGCGCCGGGCCGCGGGGCCTTGTAGGGTGTGGGGACGAGGCGGCCAGGCCTGGCAGGGAGGTTTTGTGTTACCTTCGCCAGAACCCAGACCTCCAAAGGTCACGCAGGATCTACCCGTTACCTCCCTTGTGCCACCAGGCTCTCTAGGGCGCGCTCTGCGGTCGTCGCCCCTCTTCCCGGCACCACCCCAAACAGGCGGACCGCCCAACGGCCTCGCCGACACCCCTCTTCCCGCCATTGCTTTAAAATCCGGTAAGGGGCAGGTGGCCTCAACCTGTCCTGCCGCTAGAGACAACCCCACGTTAAATCCCGAGGGCAGAGAGACAGGGCCTTGGTTTGTGCCAAACCTTCCAGCCCCGCAGTGGGTGATTCGTTCACCGAATCAATCTTCATTTGTCAAAACGTGCTCTGGGCTGCAGACCATGCACTAAGCGTAGCATACTCAAGTCAGCAGATCCCAGCCTTGCAATCCACTGAGGAGGAAACCCAGGGTGCAGCCTGCTCAAGCCCCATCAGGTGTGGGTGGACTCCCTTGCACTGCCTGTCCCTGGGCATGGGTGAGCAGACGTGTCTAAACCCATCAGGGGCACGCAGAAATGGTGCCTGGTGACAGAATCCAGGCTTGGGCCTGGTTTTTCCTCACTAGCATCTGGGTACCACTCCCTCACTAGGACAGTGGTTTGGTGTGTACTGGGTGGCAGGAGGGTAGCCTCCTCCTCTCCGTAGTTGGGGCACTTACAGACTCTGGCATATTCCTGGGGGGTGGAAGGCTGGAGTGACTACACAGCCTTAAGCTGTTTCTAGGAAGTCCCCCTCCTTTGGCTCCCTCACTCCCACACTAACCCTCCTGAGTTCTGGGAAGGCAGGCCCCTCCTCCTCGTCCCCAGGCCTCCACTCCCAGTGCCCTGGCTTCTTCCTCTGGCCAGAAGCCAAGGCAGGCTCCCAAGGGACTGTGGCCCTGTTCTGGTTCCCAGCCCCTTAGCCACCACTGTGGGAAACACTGGAGTCTGGGCAGTAGGCAGGGACCACAGAAGGGGCAGCTGCCTTGGGAGGGCACAGGGGTGGGTGAGGGTGGGGTGGGGAGACCCAGTCCAGCCTTGCTCAACCCACAGGGAGGCCTCCCTCCGACACCCAGATGGCTTTTAGCCCAAATGTCTTCTCCCCATCACGGTTTCATCTTCTCCATTTTATTTGTCAATATAAAAATAATCAAATATTTACAACAAATAAATACGCAGAGACACAATAAGTTACACTGTTAGGGGCCCTCCTCCTAGGGCTGGGAGAGGATATGCCAATATCCGCAGCATGCCCAGCTTCTCCCCCCACCCCCACACAGCCTTTCCCAGCCCTGTCCAGGAAGAGGACAAGTATAAAATACCACAGGACCCCGGGGCCAAGTGGGAGGCCCGCCCACCCTTCCCCCCAAACACGCGGGAGGCTCCATCTCCCTCCCCCCACCCTGAAAACATTCACAGCCCTCAGAGCAGGACTAGGCCCACCCAAGCCCTGCACTCCCCTCAAGGGGTACAGCACCCTGCCCGCCCCACCCCCATATGTACATCACTGCCCCAAGCTCGGGACAGGTGGGGGTAGGAGGGGCAAAGCCATATGACCCCTTCCCCTTCATAGCTCCAATGACTCGCCAGGAAGACCCCAGGCCAAGGGAAGACTGACAGAAACAGGAAGGCTCCGCGCCCCCCCACACACATACACACACACACGTGCAAACACATATACACACAAACACACCCACATCTTAAAACTTCTGCCTTGAAAAGTTTTGGCTGCTGGGGTCCCATGTGTCCGTGATTCACAGAAGAGGAAGGTGCCTGCCGTGAGGCTGGTGCCCTGATGAGCTGTGCCAGGTGGCAGTGCCCACGCTGAGCAAAGCAGGTCCTCATGGCCGGGCGGGTGCTGGGCAGGGCCTGTCCCAGGCAGAGCAGGTGCCCGTGCCATGTCCCTGAGGTAGCTGGTGCCTGTGCAAAAGTAGGAGCTGCTCCTCCCGTGTTCCCCGCGGTGTGGGGCCCTCATACCGAGGACTCCTCGGGGTTGGAGTTGGGCAGCGCCTGGCGCTGCTGCAGTTTGCGTCTCAGCTCGTCGGCCAGCTCAGGCCGGGGGTTCCCGAGCCCTTCGCGGTCCTCCACTCCCAGCTGTAGGCGCACATAACCGTTGGCATTTGAGTTCCGCCCACCGCCCAGGTGAAGCCGGGTTGGAGACGGCAGGGGCTGACCGGGGATGCCGGGAGGTGGGGAAGGGGGCCCACCCCCAGGCTGGCACCGCGCGTGTCCAGGCACAATCTTGAGGGAGCCATCCGAGTAGTAGTAGCCAACGGGATCCCAGAGTTTCTCATCTGTTTCAGGGCCGGGCCGGAAGTGGGGACTGGTGGGTTCCTTGGGCAGCTCCAGAGGGTACACCAGGGTCCTCTCAGCTGCCTTGGCTCCTTTTTCCAGCTCTTCCCGCAGCCGCCGGCGCAGTGACAAAACCAGCAGCAACAGCACCAGGCACACGGCCCCCAGGGCCACCACTGCCAGCCACACCAGCCCCAGGCTTTCCAGGGGTGCCCGGGCCTCCAGGGTCACCGACGGGCCTGCCACCACAGCCACAAGGTAGCCTTCAGCAGCCAGCCGTGCTCCCTGCTCTTCCGAAAAACAGTGGTAGGCCCCAGCATGGTGGGGCTGGGCGGCCATCACCACCAGAGCCTGGAGCCGGGCATCATAGAGGAAGAAGCCAGGCTGTTCCGTGGGCAGGTCCTGGTCCTCAAAGGTCCAGCGGGCATGGGCCAGGTTGGAGGAGAGGCGGCAGGGCAGCACCAGGTCTGTGCCCACCACCACTGTGATGTTTCTGGGAGTGAGCCTGACTGCAGCGGCAAGGAAAGAGAGAGAGCAGAGTTGGTGCAGGAAACCTGGGGCTGAGGGGAGGGGACATGCAAAAGCTCCAGCTCTAGTCTAGGGCCTGTCCCAGTGGGAGGGGGACAAAAGAGACAGCTCACCTTTCTTGCCACCACGGAAGTTACAAACGCCCGAGGTGTCCGAGACTGTCACGTGCTGGATCAGCAGGGATCTGGTAAGAGAAGCGGGGTATGTCAGCAGCCCGGCTCCAGCCAACCCACCCTCCCCGTCCTGGCCCCGTCACATACAGAGCCCAACTCACCCAGTGTGGCGACCCACGGCCACACAGCGGCTGGTGTTGACACTCCAGGCGCAGTACGGGTCCCGGGCGAGGACACAGTCCATGCAGGAGCGGTACTTCAGGCAGTCTGCCAGGGGCAGCTGGACCAGCTGAGAGCGGGAGCCAGCAAAGAGCAGCTTCTGTAAGAGAAACGGGGGCACAGGAGGGAGGGTCAGCCAGGCCACACCTATGGCAACTCAGACTCCTGTGGGGAACACAAGGACAAAATGTGCCGAAAGGAGGAAGGTGGCAGAGCTCTAGTCCTGAAGAGGGATATCTAAGAACCAGAGAACTCACTGAGGGCTTACTACAAGCCAGACACAATCCTAAGCACCTTAGCAACATGACCTTATTAGAAAGGGACAGACCTGTGAGCTTGAGCAGTGTGACTGCACTCGCTCACACACACATAGCATAGTGCAGGAAATACACTTTTCTCAAGGCCCATCGGCCCTCACAAGGCACCAGGCGCAGCATACGGTGTTTTCCTGTTTGAACGGTGATTGCCAATCTGTGTGTTTATTCAACCCCACGCTTTCTTTCTGCCATTATTCTATGTTCTGGGGGAACAATTTTGAATCACAATAGCTGGTAAAAGGCAAACAAATTAAAGTTCAGGGTGCTGCAATCATGCCAGAAAGAGTGCTGTGTGAGGAGGGATGCGCAAGCACTTCAGGGGGGCCGTCAACAAGGGGTGGGTCTGGGGATTGGTGGGACACTGACGTCATGAAGGCATCATAAATATCTCGCAGCCTGGGAGGCCCAGCCAGCAGGGTCACGATCATGGAAGAGGCTGTAGCTAGAGCCACAGCACAACTGGCAAGGGTCTGAAGAAGACATGAGAGCATCTGCCAAGGCCTGATTATGGGAATGCAGCCCCACAGGGACCGGGCCACATGTAAAGGTACTGCGGAGCGGTGACTCCCTTCCGCTGGCGCTCTGGTTTCCAGGAACTCACCCCAAGCTAAAGTGAGGTGTGCCTGCGTGCCTCCCCACCCCTGCCCTGGCCAAGCACGGTAGCCTGACTGGGAAGGCAGATGGGCAGAGGGGGTGAGACGGGAGGGGCTCGGGACGGTGGCATGGGGCCTGACTTACTACCTTGCTCTGAGACAGCGCCAGGCTTTCCACCGACTCCTGGTCAAACACCTGCAGCTCCTCGATCAGGTGAACCCAGGGCCCCAGGCTCACGGCCTTGAGCAGCCAGCCGTGTCCTGGAGGGGGGGGTGAGGGGGGTGCAAATGAGAGGGCACAGGCCCTGAGGCGTCTCCAGGTCGCCCCCCCACCCTCCAGCAGCCACAACACACGCCCATGCACCTACCTGTGCCAATGAACAGCACTGTGTAGGTGGCGCCATCCAGCCCTGTCACCCGGTCGGCCACCAGGTGGGTGAAGTTGGTGTTCTTCTTCACGAGCAGGGGACGGCCCCACCGAGGCTGCACCTGCTCCTCCATCAGCGGGTGCTTCTTGATGAAGTTGAGGGTGTTGTCAGGCAGCTCCAGAGAACTGGTATAGCCGTGGCGTCGGT